GTTCCTTGCCACGAAGCATTGCTTAGAATGTATAGGACTTTATTTTTCTGAATGTTAATGTATAAAATATTTTTAAAGTCTTTTTAGTTTATTAGATATATTAATTAGCGAATAAGAGAATGCAAACACGGATAAGAAGAGAATTAAGAAATTTAAACAAAAAATTTGTATCATTAAAATGATTATTTATTTTTATTATTACAACTATATTGAAGTATAAAACTTTCGTCTTCCATATTAATTTAGAGAATACAAGTTTCGGAATTTAATTTGATAAAGAAATTAATTATATTAGATTGGTCCATTAGAAATAGTTACTTTAAGCATTAACACTATCCTCAGTAAAATTATGTTGAGAAGGAATGTTATTATTAAAAATTGGTATTCTATAAATTTACTTATATTAGAATAATATAATTTTATAAGTAATTCAAACTAACAAGCTTCTAAACATATTTACATTCCCTTGAAATAACAAATAATACAATCACGAAATTCCATGATTTCATAAAATTACAAAAGTCCTATGACAATCTTCAAACCGACGAACGAATCAAATAAAACGAGCATGCGTGCGAGGGACGTTTTCAGTTGGGAAATGACAGTGGATTCATTTCTCGAACGGCGGAACGAGTCGGCGCCCTATACAGTTTTAACTTCCACACACCAAACTCACTGGAAATTGTGATTCTTCTTCTGTACATTTTACATTTTGTAACGGTTACGACAAGGAGGCACGAAAGTGTACGCGTCGACAGGCGTCCCGGTTAAACTACCGAACACAGGGACACGTCGGTTTTCAATTCCCTCGGGGAACGTTTCGTTCGCATTTCCGTCGTCAGAAGGAACGATCGTGTGAAAGTGTAGATTTCAAAGTAGCGGTTATAAAAAAAAGAAACAGACGCGAACAGGCAGAACAAAATAAAAGGAAACAAAGAAGAAGCGGCTGGACCGCAGATTCGAGAGAATAGTTTCGGTTTCAGTGACGACGTTACTTCTGGAAACAAAAGTTCCAAAAACAGACACATATACACGTATACACACACACGCATATACACATACGCATACAGACACCACTAAACCTGATTTTCCTCCGCGCGACTCTCGAAAGAATTGATTTTTTCCTAGAACGAAAGAGACAAGCGTACCGTCCGTTGCAACGAACCTGGCACTCGCTGCGTCATAGGGGCGGAAACAGTTGCTCCGTAGCTCCGCCCATCGCTCCTTTGGGGTTCCGAGAAGTCCAATTGCGAGTACAGAATCAATTCTCCGCGCTCTTCATCGTGCGACTCAATTAGTGTGTGTATGAGCGCCTCAGCGAATCATATGCCAGAACCGAAAATCCGTGTGGTCAGGATGTGCGCCTTTGAATCTGACCAATCAGACGAGAGTGCCAGGTTCACTGCAACAGATGGTAATTACATACCACGATCTTCAAGTGTGCATGCGGTCGCTTCGGTATTTTCTACTAATTAACCGGTTCGCGTTCTAACTCTCATAACGCGGAGAGCGTTTCTAGAGATTCTTTCTAAGGATCGTTACATTTCACTAGATAGATCCAATCGGAGACGCATCAGTCGATGCAACCAACCGACCGACGACGGAGATCGGGTCGTTGTTGTTGTTTATTCGTAGAACGTTCGTCCTTCCAGATCATCCGCTTCAATTGACTTATTCTACTGCCAACAATGTTTGTACTACGACGTTCTCTCGACGGAAGCTCGTTGGCCCGCTTTCTCTGATTTTTCTTCGTTTCTCACGCTCAGGCGTGAAAACGTTTCGCTGGATAATCGTCGAACATCTCTCGCTACGAGCATATTTGTTTAACTTTTGTCTCGGTCACTTAACGAATTTGTATTTGCCAGTGACCCAGTGTAGACCGGTAGGATATCGAAATAAGGATTCAATCTTATTTGCAAAAGAAAGGTTTAAACATTCTCCTTCATCTCTTATTATTATTATTGAAATATGTTTACTTCTTCACTGTCAAACATAACAGGTTTCGATTCGCCTCGGTCTACCCTAGCACTGGAACTACTGTACCAGTGGAAATGATTCCTTTTAGTTACCTTATTTCGCAATGATCGATATCGAAAATAGTTTCATTTGAATACTATAATGAGTACTCGAGAAAACCGAAAATAATCTATTGTTACAATTCTTATAAGAACTATGTATTAATAATTCTCAGTAGTTGTAGTATTACTTAGGTCATCCAGCAATCACGAGATCCAAGATTATTGAACGTGCGAGAACGTGTTAACCCTTCGACGATCCTTCGAAACTCTGAGCGCGTGACGAGAGAATATCGTAACCACGTGATATTAAATAGCTGTATAAATGTTTTCGACGAACTAAGTTTGATCGACTTTGTATTTTATGAAGTGACGTGCCGATAAGTGTTGACGCTCGGTTCCTCTGTATGCGTTCGCGTTCGCCTCCGTTTCGATTTCCTGGTCCGATTGTTGACGCAGACTGAACTCCCTTTCGAGGATGGACCACGAAATACATGTACTAATCTACTATACACTATGTACTGTACGCGCCCGCGTGGGCGCATAACCGTTCGTGCGTTGTTTTGTGAACCGTGAATGCTGACAATTCAAAAGGAGAACGCTTCTAAACGTAACATTTCTTCAGAAATTAATTTCATATATTGTCTGAAAATATTTTTCTACGAATTACCGACATTTGGCACATCTACAGGCTAAAACAGAGTAGATTCAAATGATTTCACTGTAAATAAATTATAAATAAAGCTTTTACAACTAAGGGATTATGGATGTTAATCGGATCGCATGGTTTCGGCACCTTCAGCTCGCGCGGTGGGTGACGCGTTAGAGATCGTCGCGTGAATACAGAATCTCGCGGTCGTATCGTTTGCCTGGCGACGGCAGGTTTTCTATGGAAAATCATATTTTCTTCGATGTAATTAAAAAAGACTGAGGGAATGAAGGGAATTTATTTTCTCTGTCAATAATTTTAATATATTCATATTGAATGAAAGGAGAACGGTATTCAATTTAATCGCCTTTATATCTTATTGTGTTTTTTTACATTTCTATCTGACGGGCGAATAAGGGAGAAGAAAAGGGATAATGAAGAATAAAATCGTGCAATGGGCGTAACAATGTCGCTGTAAAGTGGACCCGATGAAACACGATTATAAGATGGAAATACTTCGCATTGTGTTCATTATTTCGGAACGATAATCTATAAGTAATTAAAACTTGTGTTTCACATCACGTGTTCATGAAAGATATTGAAATGAATGGTTAAAACCGAGCAAGATTTAATTTCGAACACAAGACATCGACTGTAATAAAAAAGAAAATTGAATATAGACTGAATTTTGTAGTTGAAATATAAAAATTCTTAGTAAAATAAAACGAGAGGTACAATCGAAAGTAATTGTAGCATGAATTACAGTATCGTTTTTCATGAAACTTTTATAGGAAAACCGTTGTTAGAAGTATTTACAATATGAATCAGTATGTACAAAAATTCATTGTTACGACCGTTCGTTTACGTTGACTGCCGAAAATATTATCACCGATTGCAATCGCACTTATACATTTAATAACAGTTGTCCATTATTGTTTCGTAGTTTCGGTTAGACGATGGCAGCATCTTGGGAGTAGCGGTTTTTCTCGACGATCGATAGTATTCGACAATTTTGCACTTGACTGTCGACCGTACTGTGTTTCCATCGGACCGAGTTCAATCTGACACGCTCTGAAAATATCTTTTCTTGAAATAAATTAATATAATTATACTTTGTAATTAGAACTTTATTAAGAATTGTCTGCTAACGGTTAAATTATTTCGATTACATTGAAATATTAATGGTCGCAATAATAAGCTTTACAGATAGCTGTTTTAAATAATGAATTTTTTACAAATTACTATTTATATCATACTATATAAAACTTGAAACATTTTAATCGAGTCTCATTGAATTAAATTTTCGGAAAATCACAATTTTATTTGAGAAATAGCTTTCGTCGATCGACTTGAACGAAGAAAAATATATGTATACCGTTAGAAAACATAAATTGATCGGGTATATACTTACTTGAACCGCAACGAATGACATCTGATTGTTGACATTTTACCAACTGTTGTTTACGGTGGCTGTTAGTATTTCTCTGGTTCATTGAGTAACAGCACTTGCAAATTATTAATTGGAAATACACTCGAAACCTATAAAAATCAATGCTATTTTCTTCTTTATTAATCATACTGATCCGAATATTTGAGTAATAATGTTATTTAAGTTTCAAATTGGTATTCGATTACAAGTACCTTTTATATGACGAAATAATAGGTTAACATATAATCAAACGGTTTTTATCATTCTAGCTAACGGTTTTAATAGCTCTAAGACACGTTCGAACGAAACGCAGAGAGATTAATAAGATTCATAATCATTCATTGGAAACCAACTCACGTAGTGTTCATCCAGTAGTATATAATAGGATTTACCATGGCATTAGACATAGCAAGCCAGTAGAAACCTAGGTAAATGTGCGGAACGTAACTAATCTCCGCAAAATGTCTATGGTGATAAACATAAATGAAAAATCCATGATAAGGCAACCAACAAATTGCAAATATTGCAACGACTGTGATGAACATCTTGACAACCTGTAAACAAGTATCTATACAGTACTTCTTCGCGGATGTTTAACATCGATAATTTCGTTTCTACTTAACATTAGCCAAGATTAATATATAATTTCAAATAAAATCGAATCCAACCATTTTTATTTATATTTTCTTCAGATTCTTTACACAACGAATATTTTTGAATATCACTTCTCTATAAAAAATGCAAAGAAGGTATTCGATTCTTGAGGATTCATCGCGAGGCAACTTAAAAGGTTTCATTAATACGAGGGTTTAAACATTAATTCCATTCTTTTCATTGATCGAACAAAAATTATATCGAACGTATAAAGAATCTGTGCGATTTGTCTGTTTCGTGAAAGCCGTCGTTAAAAGTTCCTCTTAATCAGGTTACCGTGTTTTCACACGCGTCAATCATTTCACAGGAATTCCACATTGAAATATGTTTCCCTCGCGCTCTCTTAAAAGCATGTACAGGGTGTTCCGCGACGAAATCGATAAAGTATGTACGTACTTACGTACATCGGCACGCTCTGAACTTTATTCTGAATAAAAAATCGTCCACGCATCGCGGATTGATTCATCTACATTTCCGGAAAATTGAATTATTCGACGTTACGTCTTTGACACTGACACGCTGTGCTGATTTTTGCAATTTTAACTTGTACGGCACGGTACACGTTTTAATCGAAACAAAGGATTCCGTGCAAGTTTGAAAATGTTTATTGCGAATGTTTCAGCCATTCGCTTTTTATTACTACTACTCTGGAAGTTTCGAACCACTTTTTATCGTCTTGTGCAACATCCTCTGCTCAGAATGACCACCCAAACAGATGGATGAAGTTTATCAATTCCTTCGTGTAACGCTTTGTATGATCAAAGTTTGTAAAGTGTGTATTACTACGAAACTTGTGATGTACACTTTTCTCGCAATAAGATCAGAAAACTTTCGTCCCCATGCTGGTAAAGCTACTTAAAAGTTTTTATCTACCTTGCGTTTAGATTTCATCAGGTTCTTCTGGTAGTGCGTGAGCTCTCCTATAGATTTCGTGACCCACAGTTTGCGGCCCATTAGCGCATAGCACACTGCCATTAACATTATTGGAATTAAGTATGTCACGCTCAAGAATACTATGTTGTATCTGTAACAGAAGACGTTTCGTGCTAGTGATTTTTCGATTTTATATCTATTTAAGTTCCAAAATAACATTAGTTCTTTCGTTATGGATCATCAACAGTGAAACTTCTTTTAATCAATTTCTATTGTTTGTTATTCTTTTATTTTTTTTTGGTCAGATTTGGCTTGTCATTTACTTTAAAAGGAATTCCAAATCAATCGAGGTATATTTTTATTTATATTTTAAAATAAAATTACTTCTTTCATTAGAGATCTCCAACAATGAAACTTTTTTTCATCAATTTCTGTTATTTATCACTTTCTTATGATTTTTTTTAATTACATTTGGTTTGTCACTTTAAAAAGAATTCTAAATAAATACTCACGAATATTCGATTGTACTGTGCAAATAATCTCCGTCTGGCCACAATAAGTAACACGTAATTCTAGTCTTTCCATTCAAATACCTGTAACGAAGAATTTAATCTCTGGAAATTTACGATTTACCTGAAATTAATATTGAGACAGTTTTATTGCAGTCAGTATTCGTTAGTTGTTAATGCAATGATGATTATATTACAATCTTCGCTTCAGTTAGTCGATTGAATGTCAACTGTACTCTTCGGAACGAAACATTTAGATCGTTTCATTGAATACGTGAAAAGAGTTATAAATATAAATAAACTATATACAACGCGCACAATAAAACATCTAAAGGTCATGGTTTTCAATGACTGCATCTGTATTCATGAAAATGTATTCATGAATTTTCGCGCGAACTAAATACGCAGCTTACAAAATGAGAAGATATGCATGGTATCTTGTGACAAGTGGTACGGTGAAAGCCGCATTGATTTCACGCTAAAAACGAATGGAAAACATAAAATATTGATATTCTTCGTATCTAGGTCTGCTTCCGAATAAAGAATGATAGAATTTCAGACCAGACGCACGCACTAAAATATATGCAGTTATCGACGCGCGAGGAATATGGCGACAGGGTGAGGTGTATTTAAGTGCCTTGCAGATCTTATTTTAAGATCGTACAATTGAAAGTGGCACCTATTGATCAAATGCTCCATAAAATTAGCCATGATCTAAAAATGCAAAATGACACTTTTTATTCATTTCGTCTGAGTGAACCACTATTTAAAACTGCGAAATTGCATTTTTTATTTAATATATCATATGATATTCATCGTAACGTTATTTTGTTTGGACAACGTTTCAGGAACATTTAATTTATATCTCTTTAACAAACTTTTAAACTCCGACCTATTTTTCACATGTCAATGTAAAGAGATCGAATCAGAATATATGTGACTAGATGAAAATATCCCACCCTTAAAATTTACAACCTGGTCCTGTCTGCAGCAGGTGAGGAAAGGTCAACCGTGGGCACCCTCGCCATACCCTTCGGGCGGCCACATCTGTGTCCTGGTGCGCGTGTACACGTTTGAAATTGAATCTCAAATTTCTCGGGTGTCAGTGACGAATATTTACTCCAAACTCGCGATTTAGTTTTTCACGGAAAACCGCCATCCTCTCGAATACAGGATAATCCCGGGCGAGATTGCCCGATCTCATTCCGATTAATAGTTACTTTCGTAAATGTTTTTCCCTTTTGTCAGATATCACTGATATTCATAATGTGATTGTTCTCTTTAAGAAGTAGGTCATCTCTCCTGGATTTACCCTATCTTCAGCGTACAGAGTGCTTAATTAGTATGGAGCTACACTAAATTAAAGTTGTAAATATTTAAAGGGTTGATTCCAGTTGAAGGAATGCAAAGTGATAACTAAGAGTGACGAATTAGTGAATTTAGATTGGTTTGTGGGTCAGTAACCGATTGCTTTATGAGCTTCTTTAAACTTTTTTTAAAGGGCATATGCGAAGACAAAGCTAAAAACTGCACCTTCGTCACTTTTAATTTTTATTTTCTTTCGATTTCCAGTGTCAACCGTTAAGATATTTATTTTATACAATGAAATGTCGTCTGTAAGTGGTTTTATTATTTCTGTTAGATAGAGTATCGACCGAAAGTGGTTAGAACAAATAAACGTGAGGCTTCCTTGCAACGAATTTAAAAAACTTACACAAACTTTTAACAGGCTTCGGCAAAAATATGACTAGAAATAATTTATGACTTTGACTACCTCCTGGATTTCGTCGTCGAATACAACAGACACGGCAGTGCCAGTGCCGAACCAATTGTCCATATCAAAATCATAGTCATCACTGTCATTTTTCGAGATATACGATGCTTCAGTGGCCTCATGATGGCCATGTACCTGTAACGAGAGATTAATCTTCACGAAATCGACGTTTGAAACATATCGTCGCCTAATATAATGTTTCTACAATATTTTGCAAGTTAATGGGATTTACTGAAATTCTTTCAATTTTGCAGTAAATTCAAACATTAACATCTACTGGGGAAGGACGTGTTGCTTTTCAATATACAGGTGCAGTTTTTCTCTCACATAAAAGAATATAGTTACTCCGACGCTCGCGGCAACGAACAACTCTTACAATTGTAAACACGGTTTTTGCTTCCTTGCACAACGTATGATGGATTATTCGACAAAAAATAACTGCTTATTTTCGGAAAAATGTAAAACATGTGTTTCCTTGAAAATAATTGTTGTCGGCTTGTGATAGGAAAAGGTTGGTGGTATCATTCCACGTCAAACGGATTACTACGCGATGTCATGAATTTTGATGAACTTGGACATCACGAGAGATTAAGTCATGTGTTACCTGCACCGAGTTTGTTAAAAAAAATATAACCCACCAAAATCTCGTTCGTTTTTAAGACGGGAGGTACGAAGGTATTTTCATTCCGTTATGTAATTCATTTTTGTATTTGATTTACATTTTCTTTCGTTTCTTTGTAAAAAATTTGCCTTTCTCGATAAATCTTTGTTTCGCTGTGAAAATTGTTATCGTAATGCAGAAATAATAATCGAACCTTTATTTTGGCGCAAGTACGTTGTAGAATTGAATGGAATGTATATTCACATCTTTTGGAATTTCCATTATAAAATACTTTAATTTCAACTTTGTGTAGAAATTGAGAATTGTTGTGTTGAACACTGTGCTATTATTTAATTAGTACAGAAATAACTGTATTTATTTAGCTCGACAGGTCATGTTGGTAACAGCGGTGTTATTCGAAAATTTGTAGATTTGTAAATGAAGTGAAAATTAATTGAAAAATTTCAGAGTTTTATTTGAAATGATGTAAATAAAACTAGAGACAAGCGACATCATGCAGTTAGTATCGGAGGTAATTTTGTTTCCAAAATCGAGGTAGAAGAGAAGAAAATTAAAAGTCCAGGAATATCGATAGATTCGAACACTTATGGGTTCGATAATGAAATTCCTACGTTAACGGATGAAACCCACAGCCACGTAATTAAATACGACCGAAGAATAATAGATATTGAGATCGTTATGTGCTACATTGGGTAATCGAATCTTTAAAACATTGTTAATCAGCTATTGGAGTTATTGAAATATACTGTTCCGTTCTAATTATCAAAATAATAAATAATTGGTGATTTGATTCCAATTTATTGGAGAATTAATAAACCATGCTAATAAGGAATTTCTGTAATACACGATATGTGTGTGAAAGAAATCCACTTTGTCAATGGAACATTTACATATAATGCAACCATTACTATTATTTCCATTATTATATAAAATAAACATTCGTTTGAATATCCGTTTAAATTAGTTTCAAATAATGCAATCATCATAATGCAGTAAATACGTTTATCAATGTTGGAATGCAAGTTACATGCACTGAATAAATGAGAAATGAATGTAAATTACTCTATCCCTTGTCATCTCGCATTAACAGAATAACAGTGTAAGCTTGTTTAATCCGAGAATGAAGTGGACTTTGCAAAGTAGAAAAGTTCCTGTGAAATCCAATTTTGCAGAGTATAGACCGATTTAAACCTCGTTCTTAGATCTTAATAAAAGGAACGCAAACTAAAATGTTCGGCGGAATAATTACTATTTGTAATACAGTTTGTTGCGCCCATTACTTCGGCATTAAAACAATAAAGTAAAATCTAGCGATGGAATAAAGTTACCAGAACTTTACTATTCAATGTAATTAAGACAAGTGACCTTTTAATAGTCCCCGGAGACTGTCTTGTAATTTTAAGCGCAAAGGTTTAAGATTACGCAAGGTGCTTGACTTTGGATGATCATTATTTCAAGGAAAGGGTTCCACGTCTTCGAAAAATAACGAAATAAAAATTTGAACTTTACAAAGACTACGGGAATGCATTTCTTGAGATTTATTTCGATATATTTATTGATTACTCAGAAAAGTTCCTTCATCATTATAGTATTCAATAATACAATGAAGAGTCTGTTATTTTTATCCATCCGATAATTCTAGCGTTGTCTGAACGTGTCTGGAGTACACCTCAATAATTCATTGCATTCAGCTTTCTTACCAGGAAATTTATATTTTCTCTTAACAGACATCCGAAACCTTTAAATGTCTCCGGACCGGGATCAATACGAAAGCGAACAAAATTTATTTTCCCCGGTTACATGAAAAAGGCATTCACCTTTTTCACTGCACATCCGGTAGAAAGCGTATTAACCCTCGAAAGCCGGACAACGGAACAGATACAAGTAAAACGAGCGATGGGTTAGTTCCTGTCCACAATAAAGCTTCCGTTGTACAGCACATCTTATAAACCAATTTTCTACACGAAATTGTTTCTTGCCTATTTCTTCATTGTCCCTTATGAACACTACAAAAAAGGGATACCGTAATATTTTGCAGGAAGAAAAGTGTTTTCTTATAAGTTTATTCCTTTCTTTTTAATTATTTGAAAGTAAAATTTGTTATGTAAAGTGCATGTTATTCACATTTTCCATATTTATCATCGCCAGGGACGAAAATGCAACGCTTTTGCAAGCTTGTCAAGCTATGCAACTTAAATCAAACAGTCAAAGTCTGTTGCCTTGCAAGCAATATGCTCGTAAAGCCACCGATTCCATCTCGACAAATTCATTTGAGCAACAGTTGCCTTCTGCATCTGTGAGCCGCTTAGCCGGCAAACCAGTACTTCTTAACCACTTGCGCTGGAAATGAATTCAGAGATTTGCCAAAGTCTCACGAGAAGAATTTTATTTGCACCTATTTCACGCAGATATGAACGCTAATTTTGTTTATTAATAATTTCGTATAGAGCGATACATTCGAAAACAATCTAATATGCGTAATGCAACAAGATTATCAATGCGCAGAAGACATCCTTGACAGATTTTGGAACAAAAACGTCTCGGCGTGCGTGGTACGACTTTCCAACGCAAGGGATTAAAAACTTTTAACGACAGTTCACGTTTCGGAAAAACTCGGCGCGCTTTATGAGTTTATTCTTTGTAATCCGCGCGTCATCCCGGAGTGCGTCTGCACCGGGGAACAATTGGATGGAATTTCCTAGTTTTCATGTCTACATCAACATGTTCTCACCGTGTCGCTTCTTCCACCCTACCACTAGTGTTTTGTTTGTATATTTTAACCATTCCGCGTGTTCACCCGTGGCAGCAGGTCCAACCTCAACGCTCTGACATGATCGGAAATCGAGTTAGCAGCCAACCACCAAGGAAATTAACTCGAATTCATTGAAAATACATTTAATTCAAACGTGGCTCAGTTGACCAGTTTCATTCTCCCATAATGATCAATCCTGAAACGGTTAAATCCGCGACAGGATAGGTGGAATCATTCAATCACCTCCGCCACGCAACAAAGTCTGTTAAATGTAAGGGAGCACAATTGAGGCATGCGTCACAACTGACGTAACGTTTGCTACCGGTGGGCGAATATGTCCCTGCGATCCTTTTTTTAGTGAAATTAGCGTTCACTGAACAAATTTAACTAACAAGATGCTATGGTCTCCGTATTTACGGTTTGTGAAAATTTTCAATTAATTTAGTCAAAAGGATCTGCGTTCACCAGGATTATGAGAAGAATTATATTCATTTTCACAACTTTCAGCTATAGAATATTGAATGAGAGTGGTGATGAATATTTCACATTTTTGAAACGAATAGATATGAATATTCTATAGAAATTTAACTCATTCAAATGATAGAGATATAGTTTATAAATTATAATGAGGTGAGAATTTTATTTTTTTAATTATTTCATATTAATCTTCCTCGATACGCGAAATTATTACGATGATAGAACGAGAAGAGGTAAGAGCCACTACTTCGAAAAGTAAAAAGTTGCGCAACTTTGACTTAATGGCTTGCTTTTAAGGAGGAAAAAGGAAAGGATCTTCAAGTACTGATTAGTGGAGGTAATATGCTACAGTAATATCCTTACATATTCTATACGCCACACTGAGCTCGCTTTGTTGTTCAGGTAGCAATACAGTGAACCGGTCTTTATTTCCAAGTAAGACATAATATCATATCTCAATATCACCTTTAGTTTCAGTTACTTCACTTCAAATTACCTTGTTATTTATCGTTAGAGGAGTCCTTCCTTTCGCGATGTTATATTGTTTTGAACATTTCGTAAAGTTAGAAGGATCTTAAAGGAAACCAGTGGAACAAGAAGGTCACTGTATGGGTATGACAAGTAATCAGACTCCTGCCTGTGACACAGAACCCACAATGCTTCTGGCATGAATTGCTTTAGCAATTTATTTCGCGCAATTATAGACGCCAAACGTTCATCCTTAATGTTAGGTGGAACGGTTCAAATTAACGTGGTTTAGATTTTTCTTTCTCATTTCTCGGTACCAAAATTAATTGGACATATCGATATAGAAATTTATAAAACGATTTGAGTACAAAGTAACGTGTAATTATTATTTGTCTCATTATTCCTTCAATTCCACCGTGTATTAATACAAGTTCTACGGAAGTGCATCGTTGCGACCGAGTCGTTTTCCTGTCGACGCGATGTAATCTTTCTAATTGAATCCTTCTCACCGCTAATCGTACTAATTTACCTACTGGTGCTTCTCCGTCGATTTATTTTTCCACGATCAACTTTTCTCGTCGATTCTCTTGTTGGCATACAATCACTATCAGTCACTATCATTATAAGGAACTTATCGTTTTAATTTATTCCTTTTAAATGGGTGTCTTCTGTGAAGCGTGACGAATGTTAAGTTAAGAAAGTTGCAGTTCGCGTTGAACTTCGAATGTGAGTGTAACAGTTGGTGATCATGTCGGAAGTTGAAATGAATCATTAGCATTTAAAGTTGAAGTCGAATGTAACTTTAGACATTTACATATAGGCCGGAGACAATTTGAACAAGATTTCCGACAAAAGGAACATGTACCGTAGAATTCCATAATTTATTTACAAAAGTAATTCACGTCGTTTGCTTGAAACTGAGAGAAGTATACGAGAGAAAATATTAAGCTAGACGACGTTCATGTGACCAGAATTATGTAACATTAAAAAATCCTCCCTTCCAGTTTAATGATTAATCGTTAATTGCCGCCACATTCATTTTAGAAATAAAAGGACGGCTGATTTTTCATGCTAACAAATTTTGCAAAGCAACTCACCTGTCAACAGAAATAACGACCAGAGTGAACACACTGGAAGCGACAGTCAGGTGGGCAACAAAATTATTAATTGTGCAGTAAATCACGCCGAAGGGCCAGCTTGAGTTCAGCAAGAAAGTAAAGTTGAAGGCGCAGTTCAGCAACGACATCATTAGATCGGCCACGGAGAGATTGACTAGGAAGTAATTGGTAACAGTGCGCATTCGTCGGTGTGCTGTAATGTTAACCATTAATTAATATCACGTCGGAAGAATTAACATCGCTGTGGGACATTTATCGTGCAAATTTAGGAAAAAGTATTGTTCATCTGAATCATCTTTTGCAATTTGTAATTCGTGTTTGGAAAACGATGCTGTTCAACGAAGACAAACAATATTGACGAAATCTAAAGATCAATGTCAATTAGAAGTGAAAATTTCAGTACTAATTTTGTTAGCAATTTTTATTGTAAATTAATCGACTCCCTGTCGCATTTGTGTGAAGGAATATTTTTAATTGGATACAGAAACGCTAAACGATAAAAAACATTACTTTATTCGCTTGATAGTTTCGCAGAATAGTGTTGATTGACTACTGTTGAATAGCGAAGTATAATAATCAGTTAAATAGCCAATAAGAAATCACAGCCCAATTAATTATACGTTTCTATAATTGGCGCGCTAGTTTACGTAATTACACAACAATCGTAGTAGGTAATTAGTGCGATTTTAGTGTAAACGTTGCATGCGCATTGAATCGTTTCAAAGGGAAAGTAGAATACGTGGTTTTTGAATCAATATGTTAATATGTGTTTCAAGTGATCATAAGTAGAAATTAATTGATTATTAATTCCTTTTCGACATGCAACCTGGTCGCTAATGGTTAGCGGCGCACACATTGATTTCATTCCGATATAATTCTTTATCATTTAAATATATATGACGACCTATGTTATACAAAACATTTCTAAAATATTCATTTTAATATCACGATTTATTCCGCGTGACTTCGCTGCGAATTATAAATCCCTTTGGAGCGTTAATTATTCAACTTTAGCGTATCAAAAAATTCTCTTATTCCGTATGAGCAGAGTACACTTTATGAATAAAATATCGTATAACACTCTAATGACAGTCTAATCGAATAATATTCACAGAAACATGTTTCAACCGAGACTTAATTAAAACAGGACGAGCCACTTGAGATTAAAATGAAAAATATCATCTTTATTAAAATATTATTTTAATGACGCGAGAAAATTTGCGGGTAGCAAAATATTTTACTCGGAGAATCTTACTTTACTTGGGAACCGTTTCAAACGTTAGTTTTTATAACAAAAAGTCGGGATGGATTTAAACATTTCCTGTTGCGCTGTGTACATGTGAGGATTCGCTTTCAGCGGGAAACGTGGCGGGTTTTAAAGGCCTCGTTAACATGCACACGTAAGGCGTGTTCTCATTTTCTATTTTAATAAAATTTGCTTTCCGCGATGTGTCTAGTGTTGGCATCTGGTTTCGACATTGATAAAAATAGAATGCATACATGTATAAGACATGTAATATGAACAATCCTTGCTGATAAGGCCGAGTACCCGTTTTGTATCTGCGATGGAAATACGATGAATTTATTACGGCATACCGTTAGTTGGTAAAGAAAGGGTAGTAAATCCTGCTTGTATGACATTCCTTTGAGACCAGAATCTTGTTCTTAATGGTGTCTTTCTGCTGCTTCATGTTCAACGGTTTCTTATATCGTACTTCCTTGTTCTGTGCAGTCTTTGAATATGATTTAGTACACTTGACTTACATATGATAGGCAATTATTGAATTTGAATTTGATTTCGAATTTAAATGCGAATTTTACAATTTAACATAAAATCTGTACTTAATCGCTGCACTTTTAATGGTCACAATTACCGACAACATATTACATTTCAAAGTTTCCATTTAAGTTGTGTTAATAGTGAATTTATTGAACCCTTCATTTCCCGCTGATTATTAAAGTTAAGCACAGTGTAAGAATACGAAGTTCTTATTGTAACATCGTTTTCCATGTACCCAACTGTGTCTGAAAAATAAGGAACTTATAAAAAAGCACAAAATACAATAAAATATCAACGTATTTTCACCTATATCCGTTCTCGTGCCTTTCTTTTGTCACATTCAACTGAAAACACTATAGTCGCATAAACAGACTCTTCGTAATTCAGTTAAATATCACCGACTGTACGAATATTATAATTATTGTATACCGATGACCGTTCTGGATGAACTTCGTGTGCAGATAGTGCATCAAATAAGCGATATCGTGCAATTCTATTCAAAGTTATGATTATCAATCACATACATCAATCACACTCTAAAGACAGCAGAAGGAAAGTACACTGCAATGTATTGCTTTATAATTAATTGTAATGTGCGCATTACAAACGTTGATTACATTATGTACCTATTAATATAAACGAATCACAAGCTGAAAGATCATTTTTTCATTTGAAGAAGGTGATCAATGGCCGTGAGACGATTAATCAAATATTCTTAAGTTATTTATGCATTTGCCTCTCTAAATAGCACCAGAATGTTCACTCTTTGCACTCGGAATACCAACTGAGCTGCCGTTATACATTCTTTCCGACAACCTGGAATACCAGTTGCGCTGGCACGAATATTTTTGCATTTTTGCATTGTACACAATCGTATGAAAGCAACCCACGCCAATATCTAAAAATTATATTTACGCTACCAATCGTTAACACATTTTTCTAAAGTGACTGTGACACGTCGATCATACGTGAACGACACGATTCCTCGTTCCTTTATTAGTAATTGAAAAATTAATCGTTATCGAATCGATTGCTTCAATAACTTAATACTTGGACTGCCATGTAAACACTCATTAAAACATGTATTCGAAACAGTTTTCGTCGTTAACCAGAAACGTTGAAGTTAAGATTCTTCTTAATGATTGCTCCACTATCTTCCTTATATCTCATATATCCAACAAAATTCGGTTTGTTCGATACCAAGGAAATTAATGTCCAAGTTTCTGTGAAAAATAGTGTCACCCGAATTTAGGTGACGTGGCAGTAAAAGAGCTAAGTGTTGCACAAATGAAACACTAAATTACCCTTTCAATTATGAAACGGAATATTAAAATCTTTTCAGAACACGAGAAGCTGAGAGATTATTATTTTGAGTAATTCACAGGTTTCCCTCGGTACTTTAGAAGTGAGAGGAATCACAGAGCCAGCGCTGCATCCCGAAATTTGATAACAGTTTCATGAGATAAAAGGGATAGGCTTCTGTAGTTAATTGTTACCGTGCGTGGCAAATAAAACGAGCGAAGACAATATGATTTAGCTGCAGTCCGCGATCTCCAATGGGAAATAATCCAATATAAACTATAATATTCTCGTGAAACTCATCGGCGTATGAGTATAAAAGTTATTTAAAAAAGAATTAATTATTGTGCAGAACGTAGCGACATGCACAATACTGTAACAATTTTATGAAACAATAGATTTATTGCAAATCGCATTTGCATTTATTAAAAATTTTTAATTTGCCTTCGCCGACAGATTATATAATCAACTCTACCCAACTAACTATTGGGTATTGCTTCTTCGATCAATTTTTCCAATATCCGACGATAATTATTTATTCCTTCATTAACGCATTTCTACCGATAAAATCGCGAACAATCTGCTCGGCAGTTTCAACCCTTTACCCTAGAATATCGTGTCAGACTCGTGTCGGAGATTTCGAATAGAATATAACAAATATAAACTTAATTCTTTCAACTCCAAATTGAACATTATTCTTCTATCGTTAATTATAATACTTCATAATGAACGTAGACATAGAATAAGCATTCTCTTTCTAACACATCACGGACAACAGAATAGCACTGTTGAGCGCATATTAAAATCATAATGCAAGGGGTATTAATAACTAGTTTCAATCACAAATTTCATAATCCGCCTGCAAAGTATCAGTATACCCCTGAGATTAATCAGCTTCAGTCATTTCAACCCATGCACGTTCCGATTGCGAAGAGTTTTCCAATACACCCTACATCTATGTTTACAAGATACCTAGTTTCCCATACACCCCTTTGTATGCGGAAAATTGAGCGTTTCATGGCAGTGCATTCCGAACAGAAAGGGAAAAAGGGACAGCGTCAAAAGCCAGTGGATCAGAGAGACACGTTACCAGTTCTTACCGAGCACGATCCATATTACTATTACGTTGCCGCCAGTCGCTATTAGCAGCATCACTGCGAATATAAGGGACCAAGCCAGTTTTTGCCACCAGGGTAGATCAAAAGGTCGTTCTTGATGAACAGAGACGCAGTCGATGAACGCTTCGAACAGAACGTCCCGGTCGTTTGACGTGTCCAGGGTGTCCTCCAGGAATTTTAGTAGCTCGGTGTTGTTTAACGTTAATAGGAACGTGATATTATGGCCGAGGAGCGTGGCACCACAGTTGTACAGGCCGTTCAACGTTTGATTGTTCATGTTTACGGGGATCGGTTCGCGCAGCTTTCATAGAGAACTTAATCTCTCCACGGGACCGCGCTCGTTTGGAAAAGAGTTTCCACGTACGGACATAAATCCTCTCGCGTGAACGTTGTTCCCGTATGGCGAATTTTCTCCCTTCTTGTCCGTGTTACGTGGAAATTGAAACAAACAACGCGACACGGAACTGATCGCAGCAAGCGGGAGGAATAATTCTACGCGAGAGAATAAAACGACAGACGTCGGGAATGTTTTATGTTTCGCTGTTTCATTGATCTGGAAAATCGAATACTCGTGGGAATCTTACAAGGGAAGCTTTGCAATCGGCACACGCCGATTTTGATGAAACTTATGCGAGCCGTAGTTCTCAAGAAAATATTTGGTACATAGTTTTTCTTGTCGGTCAACGTCCACTTTGAACGAGGGAAAACACCTTTCAAAGTTAAGGGTTGTAAGTACATTTTTTACAGTATCTCTGAAACTAGGGGGTGCAGAAGAGAAATCTAAATTGTTCATTTTGAGGCGAACAATTTAAAAAGAAAATTTCTTTTTTACACCCCCTAGTTTTAGAGATGTACAAAATGTACTTCCAACCCTTAATTTTTAGGGGTGTCTTCAGCCCTTTAGAGTGGACGTTGGCTGATAAGAAAAAATACATTTAGCGGTTAGTAGTGAAGACAGTGATTTTGTATACTTGATTTTTTGATCGAATATGTTGTTGAATTCATCGTAGAATATTGATAATACAAAAAGTATACAAGAGTAGCTCTTAATGACACAGGAACACAGTGACTGCTTTCGCGTTTTTCATGAAAACATATTATTGTAAATTCCCGACTTGTTTTCTTATGGAAATCCGCCCCTTTGCACGAGACGTTGCTATCCCCTTCGCATTCCCTACGAATTTGAATAACAAAATATATCCGGATACCGAACGTTCAATAAAGGAATCTGATGTTTCTTTGAGAAGCTGTTATCCGTTCAATCGAAACGTATTCTCTTCAAGGAACGGATTGAAATCTAGCGGTAAATGACGAACGGTATTATTTCAATTCACCTATTGACATTGGAGTGATTGCATTGTACTACGAAGACACGGAGATAATGGGGATGCCAATTTCGGTGAAAACAACTGTCAGATCTGAGAACACGCGGGTTTCAAAACTTTGACTGGAGTTATTCGGTAGATCGACTTTCAGAAGGTGAAAGAAAAAGTCTCGCTTAGCTGGCGTATGCTGGAAATTGCCCGAAACGTGAGACACACAAAATAATCATCTGCATAAATAAAATAATAAAAATGTCATTCGTATGCTGACCATCGGAACCTGAGTCCTAGTTCGATCTCCGTAACTCAATCTTCACCCTTTAAATTTGTAATTTCAATCGAACCATTAAAATTCTATGAAATGCCCGCGCGTGATTAGATCATACAACGTTTACAAAAATCCCAATTTATTGGCAGCGTTCGCTGATTTACTAAAAGGTAAACGAAAGATTTGCCTCCAATTATGCGTTAATTATTCGTATTAATTGCAGTTCACGCGGACCGCTTTCATGACTTTCGAAACGAACACGCACAGTCGTTCACCGATTAATTACGTGAACGCGGCGATACTCGATTTGCTTGATTTACAGATCGTTAGATAAAGTTTCAGGATCCACCGTGCCGCAGAACCTCGACGGACATACTGAAGCTTCGAAATCGCGTTCATTCAAAGATACGTGCGCAACGACTTGCGCTCTCCGCAATTTCCCTCCTAACGTGCATTCTACACCCCCTCTGTTCACCCTCAGTTCACCCTCAGTTGTTTAGTTCCGAGTGTCAGCTAACGAACCACGTAAATAACGAGGCATTGCCAAAATTAAGAACGCCAGGCGATTTTCTGAGTTACAGCTCTTCTTTCCGGCAAATCGTGTTTACACTTTCAGTACCACGCTTCTAAAGAAGGAGGTCATTTATTCAAATAGGAATCATTTATATATTTTATGTACCTTGAATATGATAATGAAACCTTATTTTTTAAATATAATGAGTACACATTGTTCTATAAAATTAGAAAATTGTTATGTTGTATTTGAAAAATTGTCGATCTTGGAGCTCCTGTAACTTTAATAAAAAACTTTGAAGTTCTAAAGTATGAAACTTCTAGTTTCACCTCGTATACGTTAGTTTTTCTTACAATATTTCTCGCTTTATATAACGAATGAGAAAATGATATACCGGCGCAGTTTACAATTTGGAATTTTAATTTAAGAATTAACGCAAAACGTAGAGCGAAATCGACGTTTACGATTTTTTGAACGGGGATGTTCCGAAGGAGCTAATTTAATGCCATCTACTGAAGATTAGTGCGCACTACACAATTGAAGTTTTCGTGTTTCGTTTCCTCGTGTTTTTGTTTACGGTGAAGTGAAAATTGTTCAAAAATGAAAATAAAAAAGAAGTCGAATGCAGTGAGAGTCCCACCTCTGAAGAAAGCTATAAAAGTTAAAAGAAGATCGTCAGATATCGAAGGAGAATCTACTGTATCGAAGGCGTTGAGGAACGTACAGAAGGTTTTGGAGGTTAGTTGTCACGTGTAGATACATAACCTATAAATTATGAACGTGAATAAAAATTACATTTAATTTCACAGAAAAGTCCTCAGAGCTCGACGAAAACAGTTTCAAAATCACAAGTTAAATCACGTGGATCCAAACCCACCAAGAAAGTAGTAAAAAGGATAGGAGAAGGTAAAAGAGGAGTAGTCTATTTGGGTCACATTCCGCACGGATTTTATGAAGAACAGATGAAAGATTTTTTCACGCAATTTGGGAAGGTAACGAAAGTGCGAGTTTCTAGGTCGAAAAATGTAAGTATATTTGTCAAATTTTGTTAATATTAAAGTGTATAATTAATTTCATTAAAAAGAATAATTTCCATAATTTACAATGTTAATTTGATAATATTGGTACATTGAAACGAGAGATGTATTTTTATTTCAGACGGGTAAAAGTCGTGGTTATGGATACATTGAATTTCTACATCAAGATGTAGCAAAAATTGCAGCAGAATCAATGAACAATTACCTTATGTGTGGTAGATTATTGAAAGGTACTGCATAAACATTTATCTTATACTTTCTATAAACAGTTATTGCTTAAGCATATACGGCTCCAACTGAAGTTTTATCTTGTTTAGCTACATATATACCACCTGAGAAACAACATTCACGCTTCTTTATTGGAAACTCTTGGACAAAGGATGTTTATCCAAAGTCGATAAACAGAGAGACTACAAATAAATTAAAAAATACTAGGACGAAAAACCAGGCTAGCTTCATCCAAAGTACACGGGACAAATTGTCTGCTCTAGAACAGAAGTTGAAAGATAGAGGTGTTGATCTTAAATTTTCTCCAGCAAGTGTTGTAAAGACATAACGAGTGATAAATACCTTTAATATTATTTCTATAATTACAGCACAAGATTTAAACTTAAGTATTATAGACAAACGTAATTATTTTGTATAAAATAGTATTTACAGTTACACATTAATATAAGTTCCCTCAGGTTCGAGAAAAAGAAATTTTTGACTATTGCTTTTCTTGATTATTTCTTGCTCCACCCTTTGTCCTCTTCCATTTCATGCGTCTATTTTGGAACCACACCTTCACCTGAAAAATTAATCACATTAAAAACATCTACTGTGTTGTTAAAAAATTAAACCTCCCCCTCCCCCCCAAAGTATAATTTCAGTAGTTCAACTTTAAGTACAATTTAATAATGAAATGTCGGCTTTGTATTTACCTGACGCTCTGTTAAGTCCAATGCAATCGCTATTTCGTAACGGCGTAAACGTGTCACATAATTACTGTGCGCGAACTCATACTCGAGATGTCGGATTTGTTGTTTCGTAAATGCGGTTCTCTCTTTCCGAGGTTTCTCATTGGCCAATCTTTTTCCTGCTTCTAAAATTTTCAAAATTCGCTTGCATTAATTAAAAGGTGCTTGTACAAATGAAAGCCACAATGAATTAATATAAACCTTTGAAAATATTACAATTTTATTTAACAAATATTTATCATAGCCAAAGAAACACAGGGTAGAAAGTTTTTCCTAAATTTATTATTTAAATTTCAAGGTCCTCAAAATCTTTTAACATAAAAATTATGTATTTTTTTCATATTGAAAAATCAACAATAGCATCTATGGTATCATCATATCAAATACGAATTCAATCATGTGCAATTGTTGATTTTCGGATAGCCTACGACAGTTATTTTCATTTAACCACGAATGTTAAGTTCTGAATAATTTTACACATATATAGATGCGCGTATATAATACCGTATCACCGGATCTGACATCATTATACTTTTTTCTGTGGGGAAAGCTAAGAGATGTTTACCAGCAAGAACCTACTACACCAGAAGACACGATGAATCATACGATCCGAGTTTGTGCTGTTGCTACATAAGAAATGATCGAAGCAGCATCACAATCCACCACATTTCGTGTATTAAGCTGATTATTTAAAACAAACCATTCTGAAGCTTTCATAAACGTTTATTGCTATAACTTCGTGCGTTTCCTTTTTAATATTTATCTGAAATCATCATCTGAAAAATACTGTAAAATCATTCTACTTTTTAATTAAAATCTAAATTAAAACGTTATGAGACAGTGCTCTTGGTAGCTTGCACGGTCTTTTTGTCCAGTGCGGCAGCATATTCGATGCGTCATTGATATGTTGCAGCCGTTGATGGCTGACAAACGCGCCGCTGGCGTAATGGAAGTTGCTGGAATCGTAGGATGATCTGCGATAATGTAGAGAACATGGTCGGATCGGTGGTCGAGCTCTTAGCTTTGCTTCCGTGCCGCTATCACATCCATAATTGCTGACTGACGTCAATCAACGGAAACTTCGTTACGCGATTTCAATCGATACTTGAAATTTTTCCGGTACGGATATCCGAAAATACCAGTAAATAAACGTTCATTGCTTTTTTTTAAATAAAAATTGACAATAACTGTAGTTAGTTAAAAGCAGCATCATTTTGAGAAATAAATCTTCCTATTTTTCCTTTTACCTCATTTTTGCTTGTGATAGAATTCGTATATCCTGAAGATGCGATTAAAAATTGCACAAAACGATAAAATAACATTTGTATTAACGGAAACTGCTATTCAAATCTTACGTTATTCTATGTTTTACATTTAATTGCATTATGTTTTTATTTTGCAATCTATTAGAATTTAAAAGTTAGATCCTAAGATTGTTAATATTTAACATATAGAATAATATAATGTTATTGGAAATAAGGAATAGATTGGCAATCATTTTTTTTGTAGCGCCGTTAAACTAGATCTGGACCAGAAAAATATTTAGACTACCCTGGCTTCATTGTAACCATATTGGCGACAGTAAAGACATTAAATGGAGCTATTAGAAGTTAATTACCAACATACTACCTAATAACAGTGTTCTTTCGTCACCAATGCTTGTTGTACCCTGCGAATTTTGCCATGAGTGATGTTTTCCTTCGTCTCCAGTGTTCTGTGGGCTGTTTTGAAGGAGTGGAACCTCCCAGGCACGAAACACTGTGGTAGTGATTTCACGATCTTGAGTTTTTTCGCAAATGAAGCTCTGAGCTGCGTCCGGATACTGCGAGTTTTCTTTCGGAGCGTTCTCGTTCAAATACTGCTCCCATCTTCAGCGTATAAAAGAAAATAACAATAATCGTCTAATTAAGACAATGAACTGATTATTTTAATTCAATACAAATCAATTAATCGATAGAATAGATTAAGTCCCGCAAGATCGAATAATTGGTTCATGTGTTTTAGCAGTGTATAATTTCTTTATATAAATAAATAGTTTACAAAGAAATAAAATAAATGCGTGAATATAATAATCAAATTGTTTCACAAGTTTCCGTGCAAAGTGTACAAACATTTTCGGAACGTCGAGAGAAGATAAAAATAGTAGGTGAGTACAAGATTATTCATTAAATGCAATTTACTTTAAGTAATACTTTAGTTTCTTTGAAATTTTAAAAAAGATTTATCGAAACCTTTGCGCACGCCAATAAAAATGGCGTTAACCAGTCTTAATGATAATATAAAATCGTAAGGAATGACTTGTATATTAACTTGTATGTTAACTTGTATTTAAATTGATTTTCTGTTTAACTCAATTATTTTACTACGTACAAGTAAACGTTAAAAACCTTTGAGCAGGTATTATCCTTAAGTCGTACATTAATTGCAAGTTTACCTGCATATTCGATCATCAGTTTGCTCCACGTCGGAATGTTGCACATTTACAGCACAAGACGAAGTCAAATTAATTTCGTTGGCCGAGTTCATTGATGTTGACACGTTGCAGAGATTTGACAAGTTATTCCAGAACTTCCAGTTCCCCGGGCAACAGGAACTCTGAAAATTCAATTGAAGATACGGCGCGGCTGAAAGGGTAGTTTCGAAGGCGTTCTCCAAAGATACTTCGTCCGACCTGTCCATTTTATCTAGAATAAGGTAAACTTTTACCCAACAATTATCAGACAATCATCTATTAATTACTTATCGGCAATAGCTAATCTGTAACATAAAATAATCTTTCTAACGTATCTGATTTACATAAATTATATTAAAGCCTCATTAATCGTTACAAATAAAGTATCTATACCAATCAGCATTTGCATTATATAGTCTGTCAATAGAAATACATACTATTAAATATTAATTATCCACTCTATTTAAATCGTAATATTTTTAGAAACCTTTTTTTCAATTTTTATAGCCAACATTCGAGGCAAAAGGAAAATTCATATTCTCGCTTGAAAATCTGCTTTAACTCTAAGGAGAGCATTACTATTGAGCAATTATCGAACATTTTCATACAAATGATTATACAGAAACGACGAATGGTTTAAAAGGTAAAATTGAAATAGTTTAGAAACTTAAATCAAAGTTGTTACATTTACTTGGTACTTTTTTGTTCACTTTTCAGCGACTTCTTCGTTCACTTTCGTAATTTAGCAGCAACTGAACAACCCGAAAGATTACTGTCAGATCGAGCACTACTTCTGAACTGTCTTAGCACTAACTCGGAAATGTCAAACAAGCAGACTGTTAAAGCACTCTGATAGGCTGTTAGAAATCGGGGTAGATGTGTGGTTGGAGAACGGCCGAGTTGTGGGAGGAAAGCTGAGGGAATGCGTGAGTATTTTTCTGAAATTCGTCTGAGATCTGTCTTGTCCAAACAAGTTTTAATTACCATGATTAAAAACGAACATTTATCTGAACAGAGAAATTGAAATTTAACCTTTTCAATCTAAATATTAAATATTATTTGCTTAAACATTGATTTATATTGAACAGTTGAAATCTGTTTATACACGTGCAATGAAGACCAATATTTAATTAACATTAGTTTTTCTGTGAGAAAATTTTATTTTATTTATTTATTTATCGACATAGGATGCAATCACAATATTTTACTTCCAAGTCAAATGTTTACGGCTATGAAACGTAATAAATTGTGTTTTAAAATATATTTAATAAATATTTGTCTGCGGACCTTTTACCGTTGCAACAGCTATAACTTCTTTAAATCGTAAATTACATTTTTAAAGAAAAACTGTATAAACCTGTATACACTGCTGTAATAATTAATTACATCAAAGGATCATTGAGCATTTGAACTTTTAAATTTAATGTGATATTAGTGCCAAGAAAATATTAATTACTCGTTATACATTACTGAACGAGTCACAAAAATGTTGTCGCATAATTTTCATTAAATCTATATTTCAATTCGTTACTTTCTAATTGAATAATTTATATCGGCGTGTTACACGTTACACAAATTTACGTAAAGGCGTTAATCGGACGCCCACTGTAAAACATAAACAACCGTAAAAAAGATGGCGAATGTAAACACGTGTTCAGATAGAAGGTCTGCGGATAAATGAAAGAAACATAGTATAATGAATAAGATAAAATAAAGAAGTTTTGTAATTTATTGAAGGTCTGCATGAAAATAAACGTTCGTGAACAGCAACTACAAAAATGACAGGTTTCTCGCGATAAACTTTCAAAGCCACTTTTTAACATTCTTATAAAATTTCTTCTACATTGATTGCATTGCGTTAATTGTAAATAGACCGTTTAGAATATTCATTTCAGTCAAACAATTTCGTTCTAATATTTTTAAAACGATTTTCAATTGGTCCGCAGCACTCTGCGAGTTTCTATATCACAAATGATAAAATTCGATAGAAATAAATTTCGTCTAGATCTAAACGACGTTTGGACGCATCCACGATCGACAGAATAGACCGTTTCCCTCGGAGTTCATATCGCACATTTTTTCCATGAGACCGGAATTTTTCGAATCGTCTACGTACGGTCGGTTCATTAGCAGTACCATCGCCAAATGCTGCGATGAGAATGCGAGCGGGACGAGCCGCGCAGTAATTCGGTTAAGAGCTCTTATTTCTTCGTTTGAAGTCGTCGTTCGAAATTCCTGCGTAAATTACAATTATCCTGGGATCGAGAAAAAGAACGACAATTCACGGAGGCTCGTACGAAATTAAAGTGGCAATACGAAGAAAAAAGGATAATTAAGGAAAACGAGGTAGCTCGTTCTTTATTTACGTACGTTCTCCGATCATTTCTCGTTTTCGCCTGAATTCCCCAGTAAATCCTTCACCTTAATGCCATCGCAATGTCTCTGGCCCCTTGAATTACATCATATGCACGCGTATCACGGAGTAAATCAATTCAAATCATTTTTATTCATACCTAGTTGCGCTTATATGGGCGTTGATGGCCGAAAAATTACCCGGTTAACAGGTTAAACGATCAACTGCTTCAAGGCTGTTAGAAAAACGTAAACAAACAGTAAACCCGAACAGCACCAGTGAAGTTGTCCAACCCTTGCGCGCTATGTAGATCAATTTGCCTTAACTAATTTCTCTTGTCATTAAGATAATTTTAAAGATAAAGAGAAAAGTGTGAAGTTCAAAGTTTAGATAATGTTAACGAAACTTTATAAAGTACATCTACCACGAACGGAATAAAGGTTAAGTTAATTTTCCGTAGGATGGGAAATCGATTAAACGTATGATTTAAAACTAAAATATATATACCTATACATTATTTTATCAATTTATAGATTTCTTTTCATCAGAAAATTCGACGCTACTCTTTACCAATCAATATCCCTATCGCGAGAGCAGACTTATAGACGAAGTAATTGAATCAAACTGGATTTTCATTCAAACGGACTCGCCCTAATTAAATCGCGGTGCGACCTATCGATAACTGATCGTTATCATTAGTCAATCTCGGGTTCGCCTAAGCAAACAGAGGAAAAGAGAAATGGGGAGCGTGAAAGTGTCCGGAGTTTCCTCTCCTGGTGGGTCCAGCTCCCGGCAAGTTAGTCACGGCCATTGTTTAGCTTCCTTTTCAGCTGATTTTTGGCTGGAATCACGCCCGCCTGAGAAACAAGTTGCCCGTCGGTGTAATCCGAACGTGTGTCCGACAGGAAACGGAGTTCCGTGAAACACGAGAGACTCCTAGGTGCCACGCACTGATGATGACACCGCCGATAGAAAAATATTTCGTCCCGAATCCTGGAGGCCCTGCCCTGAAGACCTTCTATCAATATTGTTGTTACGCTTTCTTTTCGATACCCCGAAACACGATGGGTTGCACTATGAAAAATGTGTCGAAAAACAACGGTTGTTTAAACGGTTATGTGAACGTTCATGTTTGTTGTATTTAAACCTCCCGAGAAATACGAAGACGCCGTTTTGTCTATTTTTATTTCTGGTTTGTGGGAAGTACATAATTGAATAAATTCAATTTAGAACTTTCATTAGACATTCAGTTTGTGCGACACAGGCATTAAACTTGGAATGGAGAGATCGATTATCATGAGGAGGCCAATGCATAATGTCGATCGAGAATTGGTTTTTTCAAGTGATAAGTTAATTTTGTTCGATGAATAATGTTTATTAGACCGCTTTAATGTGAAAGATATCGAATAACTGAATTAAACATACGCGCCGCGAGAATAAAGATACGATTGGTTTATTATTGACATGATTTTGCTTCACTGTACCTTTTCATTAAAGTTTTCTCATTTTGTCTTCTGTTCGTTTTCCAGTGAACGTGTGAAATTCATTTTCTTCAGAATGGCACAGATCTTAAGTGGAACGTGAATTAATTGATTGTCACGAAGAGATGAAAGCGTTCGATTGTCCCCTCTTCTCTTAATTATTCTCTTTGCAGTCGCGTATAAAGCTATATTATTATTCATTTGTTTGAATTTCGTTTCGGTGCATATTTTAGAACGGGACATTGTTGTAAATTTTGTTACCTTTCGTCCAGTGCATACGCTATTCGTTATTCGAATATTCATGTATAAAATAAATAGATCAGGTAAATCGTAGAATAACGTACACATCATTTTAATTGGATCGAGTTCAAATTTAATACACAAACCTTATTTCCTCTTATCGGTATATTTAATTGCGCGTATTTTCGTAGCACATCATCAGTTTAAAATATTCACACGATAGTGAACATGTGTGACTTTGTCTTCCAAGATAAAGTTCCCATAAAGAGTTGGTTGCCTGGATTTCTCATCAACGACGAAGAATTCTCCTACGATGTCACTAGGTTAAAAGCTAGGCATCATACGTCTCAGTGTTGCTTGATGACTGTTATATGAAATGATTCATCTACATTATCCACCTGAAATAAGATACTGAAACGATCATCTTTTTCCCCCAAATTCATTAAAACCTGTACATTAACAAACATTTATTTAGGCATCTTAATAACTCAACGTGGACTGAAGAATAATATAAATATAAATTTCAAAGTCAACGAATACGTAGAAGATTGTCAGATGATGATAGAAACTCGTTTTTCCATAAAACATCAATTTTTTATCTTTTCAGTTCGAAAACACATCTCGGAAGCCAAAGCGATTGAAATTCAGAGCGAACGGTGCTTTATCAGTTTTATCGATTATATTGTATCGTTGTTTATTATTATGCTACAATTCATCGAACGATTCGAGTCAGGGCCTGTAACAAAGACACACCGTTACCTTCGTCGATTTTTCTGCTCTCCGTTTTGCCATCTTAATCGATTTGACAAATGAACGACCGTATAATAAATTATTCAAAAATCCCCTTACACAAACATGTCGTCGTTTTAATCAATCGTGTTGCATTATTATTTATTATTACACTACAATTCATCGAACGATTCGAGTCATCGGCTGCAACAAAGACAAACACGATTACCTGCGGCGATTCCTCCGCTTTCCGTTTTGCCATCTTAATCGATTTGAGAAATGAACCGCTCGTATAATAAATTACTCAATGCTCTCCTTACACAAACATATCGTCGCTTTAATCGATCGTGTTGTATTATTATTTATTGTTACACTACAATTCATCGAACGATTCGAGTCATCGGCTGCAACAAAGACAAACACGATTACCTTCGTCGATTCCTTTGCTTTCCGTTTCGCTATCTTAATCGATTTGGCAAATGAAGGGGCCATGTAATAAATTATTGAAAAATTTCGGATGTATGTTGTTTATGAGGGCCGTGAAGGAAGGTAGGGTGGAAGGAACGAACGAAGAATGAAGTTCTGCGTTGACTGGCACTCGAAGCGCCGGCGGAACAAGGACCGGCATAATGAGCCATACGGAGTTTCGTGTGGTCCGCGAATGTTGCTAAGTAAGGGATTGATTCACGGCCAGTTATAATACCGCCAAACCAAAGCCCTAATAGATTCAGGTCAATGCCACTGCCGTTCTTCGAAGTCGTTCATTATGTGAGAAGAGAGGGCCCCGTTCTCATGCCACACAGGTTGCTTGCAATACCTGCGCGGCAGCTTCAGCCACTAATTCCCAACGAACGTGTAGATACACTACCAGACATACGTATTCGAACGAAGCCTTTATTTTATTATTATTATTATCGTTGTTGTTATTGTTATTGTCGTTGTTGTTGCTTTTTCATGAATTGAGTAATTTTTAATGCCAGTAAGTTTAATCCCGGACGCATTAAC